GGGAGGAGGGCGGGGAAGGGAGCAGGGAGAAGGGGCGGCTCCTGCAGCCGGCTGGCCAATTGGCGAGGCTCTTCCCTGAATATATTTTGCACCGAGACGGGAGCCCTAGTCTAGATCCTAGTGGAGCGGGGCAGCCGACCTGTGAATCTTCTCAGCGCAGCATTGTGATCGGCATCTTCCTGGGATCGCCAAGCCCCAGAAGCCGGGTCTCTTTAAATTAGGGCAGCTGTTTTCTATTTCTCCCTGGGCTGCAGAAAGCTAGAAGATTTTTACCTAGCTCAAACAAGGCTGCTGGTATTCCCTCTTTTTTTCCGCGAGGGTGTTTTTGGCTGCAATTGCATGAAATCCCAATGGTGTAGACCAGTGGCGATGGATCTAGGAGTTTACCAACTGAGACATTTTTCAATTTCTTTCTTGTCATCCTTGCTGGGGACTGAAAACGCCTCTGTGAGACTTGACAATAGGTAAATGTGGCTGGGATAGTTTCTTTAAATTTACTCTTGAGATACTTGTAGTAATGCAGGTGAAAGATAGCCAGGCAAATTCCTTTGTCCATTGCTGGGAGACTGTGGTGACATGGACGTTGCTTTCTGCAGTGTTTAGAATAGCCTTCTTTTCGCCAGCCTGGCCAGAAGACAGGCTTTTAGCACATTATGTAATTTAGCCCTTTGTGGCTACTAAAATAGGGAAATGTCTGGATATTCGTTAGTGAGAGTGGCTTATGTTTTCTGGAGGGTAATACATTACATAGCCTTAAAGAACACTTAAAAACTGATGCTAGAAACATAACAGAATTAGGAAATCCTTTGTGTGTGTGTGTGTGTGTGTGTTGGACGTTTAAGATAAATTCCATTTATCGATTTTTCCCCCCTTTTTTTCCAGCTCCTCTGGTGCAAGTGTGGTAGCTATTGACAACAAAATCGAGCAAGCTATGGTATGTACTGATTAAAAATCATTTGTACTAAATGTGGGCACAGTACAAAAGCGAGATGTCTTGGGATGGAACCGGTGCATCCATAGTTAAGATGATGATTGCTCTTCATACATTTAGAAATGCCTGCACTGCCTCCATTCTGCCAGCGTGAAGCCACATACCAAGGCTGCTTTGGGAGAGAAAGGGACGCTGTGGGTATTAAATGTTCTTTCCAGGACAGATTTCTCACAACGTCGGGATTTGTGCAGAGGTGTCCTTTTTGCTGGGGAATTGCTAGGGAAGCGCTTGGCCCTGCATGTCCTTCAGTCGTGGGCACATCTCTAGGGATGTGGCTTTACTAGAAATCCTAAGGTTTACTGGGGAGCCCGGGGTTGAGGGGGAGGCCCCAGAAGTAGGGATCTCGGGAAGGGGCCTTCAAGGCCCGGCACAGAAGGATCCCGGTGATGTAGGCTACTGTACAATGAAGACGAAACCGAAAAAAAGTTTTGTCTTCCCAGCCTGCGCCTGGATTTCTCCTAAATTTTATTTCCGCCTTGGCCGTTCTTTGTTATTGGAGCAGCGCCTGTGGCTCTTCTCACGGGATTCTCAACCCACTGTTGCTAGGCAAACTCTGAACCTTTTAATTCGGAGCTATAAATAAATCGGGCTCCCATTGGCTGCACCGTCTGCCCAGGTTTCTGTGATGTCAGCTTAATCACGAAAAGGGGGGGTGGCAAGGGTGGAGGGAGGAAAATGCGGCAACATGCTCCGTAGGAACTGGCTGCAGCCGGTGCTGAGGGAGGCGGCGTGGTGGTGGCCGGCGGCGGGAGGAGGGACTTGGGGCGGGGAAATGACTACAGTGCCGCAGGCCTGGACATCCCGCCTCTGGGCTGCTGCTTGGCCGCTGAGCCCCAGTGCGTGTTGCCATCCCAAAGTGGAAAACTGATTGTTTGCGTTGCTCGCCAAGGGCTGCAGAAAAGCATAGGCCTTCAAAAAGTTCATCACTTGTACATTAAACTTAAGTATTGTGTAGTTGTGATTGTACTCAGTAGATTTCTCCCCTGCGGCTAAATGAACAATAAAGTAGGATATGTAAATGGTTAGGGAGAACCAGGCAAAATAATACTTTAGAAATATGGAGTCCGGGAAATAGTAAATAGGAAGTTAAACCCTTTTTTCCTCTCCCTTTCAGGATCTGGTGAAAAGCCATTTGATGTACGCGGTTAGAGAGGAAGTGGAGGTCCTCAAAGAGCAAATCAAAGAACTAATAGAGAAAAATTCCCAGCTGGAGCAGGAAAACAATCTGCTGAAGACACTGGCCAGTCCTGAGCAGCTTGCCCAGTTTCAGGCCCAGCTGCAGACTGGCTCCCCCCCTGCCACCACACAGCCACAGGGTACCACACAGCCCCCGGCCCAGCCAGCGTCCCAGGGCTCAGGACCAACTGCATAGCCGCCTATGCCCCCGCGGAACTGGCTGCTGCTGTCTGAACTCAACAGACCCGAGATGATGTACTAGGGGGACTCCACCTCCACAGTTACCCATTTCATTGCTCGCTGCAAAAGAGACGTGAGACTGATACATGCCATTATCTCTTTTTTCGAGTATTAAACACCCATGTGCTTTTGGCTTGAAGAAATTTCTTAGTTGGGTGAATAAGAGAATTAGCATGGATATACTGGGACCTCATACAGCTTGGCAGATATTTGAGAAATGGTTTAATTCGTGCTGAGGAGCTGTGTGCCTTTCCATCCCTTCCCTGCTCCCCGCCCTCACTTCCAAGAGTTCTCTCCTGCTTGCACATAGTGTACGATATGGGGTTACTGAGCAGTGGAGCTCCACTGGACTGTCCTGTCTCCTCTCCTCCCCCTGAGGAACTTAAAGGGGAGGTAAAAGAAAAGACTGGTGCATAGTCTTGCCTAAATGAGGGGAAACAGTTCATTATACAAATTAATGACTGTCACCAAAATCCATAAAAACAATAGTACTGTGTGCCTCTTTCTGAAACAGTGGATGACACAAAACTATTAGAGTGACTAAAAGGTGACTGGTAGCTGGGACCTAGGCTATCTTACCATGAAGGATGTTTTGCTTATTATATATTTGTGTATGTAGTGTAACTATTTTGTACAATAGAGGACTAACTACTTAGTTGTACAGATTGAAATTTTGCTGTTTCATTGGCTGTCTGAAGAGGTGTGGATTGTCTTTATATAGAGATTACATAAAAAATGTTACGTGAGGAAAATCACACCTAAAGAAATTCTAAGAATTTGGCCCAGTTAGTCACTTTGTGTAATCTGAAATCTTATAGCTGCTGAATATCTTGAAGTAAATCCCTGTTCACTGAAGTCTTTTGATTGAGCTGGTTGGATACTTTGAAAAATGATCAGTTCTAGCTAATGAGATGAATTTCCCAGTAGGGGATTCTGCGTATTACCTGTATAGTAGTTATATGCATATGTTTCTGTGCATGTTCTCTACACAGTTGTAAGGTGTCACTGTATTTAACTGTTGCACTTGTCAACTTTCAATAAAGCATATAAAATGTTGATAAACAAGTGTTTTCATATTACAGTGTTAACATAATTGCAGTCATTTCCACAACTATTTTTAGCTAAAGTTACAATAATTTGACTAGTAAAATCCTGAAGAGGGGTAAAAGGGTTGGGCAAAGTAGAGGTGCTGGTGGTTTGACTATAGAGGTAAAAGGATATAGACGTTGCATTATTTCAGCCACTATGGGTAGAAAGGCAATGAAGGAGACAAGAGCTTAGTTCTTCAGACTGGTGTGACCTGGGCAAGTGGCTTCACCTCTCAGGACTGATGTGGGACATTGAAAGAGATAATCTTTAAATTCCTTTGTGGCTTTGCATTTCTATGAGTCCATGAAAGTCTTAAGCTGTCCGTGTTCACCAGCTGAGAGGGCAATGAGCCTTATTCTAGCCACCATCCCACTAAGCAGCTTTAGGATCAAAAGATGGAAGTTAGAGAAGCGAGTTCCACTTCAAGAACATCCTGGGTTGGGATGTCTTTCCTAATGTGACAGGTTCTAGCTCCTGGGAATGTCCAAGCAAAAGACGGGTTTTCTCTAGTGAACTGAAGTGGGTCTAGATGAATAAGAGCTTCCCTCCCAGTTGATTCCTTAAGACTGCAAAATAGGTCAAAATTAAAAATTTGGAAACCTAAAGCAAACAGGCACCTGAGAAGTGAGCCTGAGAGGTCCCATTCTGTTCTAGGAGCAATGTTAGCTCCTGTGACAAATAGGTTGGATTTATCAGCTCTGTAGTCTGCCAGGGAGCCTCAGCAAGGGAACCCTTCCCATGCCCCCTCCAGCCAATGGGAATCAGCATTCTTGAGCTCTAAGGCTTATTTAAGACCTTGCAGAACAAGGACTGAACTTTTCTGAATCCTTCGTTTCTCTAATGTAGAGCTGTGGGGAGGCTAGGCAAATGGAACATCAGAGCTCCCTGAAAAGTGGATGGTGTGCATGTTTTCTAAAGCTCAAGGCGACTGGAGTGGTGACAGAGCTCAGGGTGCAGCAGTAGCTGCTGACCACCACAGGCTGGAGCCCATTGCCATGAAGACGATTTGGGGAAATTGGAGAGGACTTAAAAAAGCCTTTGTCATAATAGTTTAAAGGATATATAACTTTGACTTAAAGGGATATTTATGTAGTAATTATATTTCCTTTAAAAAGGAAACTATAGTGACTAGAAATCTCTAGCCATTTCATCTTTTATGTTTTCAACAAAGATCCTCAATACCAAAGGCGGTAATTGTGTAAAACTTGAAAATTTTTATTTCAATGTATCATTAAGATAATGGAGAACTTTATACTAGGTTATTTAATGGAATTTGGGCCTTTTTATTTAAAATGCGGCACTCCTGTGACATTTTGGGAGCTGACTGTTACATGTGAAATGAGAACAAGTTAAAATCAAAAAGTGTTTTTCCATACATGTTCATTTTAGTAATCACTAAACATGCGTAAAGTCAGCAATTTTCAACCTTTGTCACCTCAGGGCACACATAAACTAATTACTAAAATTCTGTGGCACATTGAAACAGATTTTTTTTGCTGATTTGACAAAAACGTTGGTGTAATTTTGATTCGTTCACACGGATGGCTATTGTTGTGTTGGCTGTTGTAATTTTTTTATTTGACAATCTAAGGGAAAGAGGTCAGTGCCCCTGACTAAATAGGTATTGCATGTTTTAAAAATTCTTGGGACACACTGGTTGAAAACCACTGCATTAAGTGATTGACTTATATTTCAGGGTGTTTAAGGTAATTTAAAAAGGTGTTTTACTGCTTGTTTACAGACGTGATTAGGCCTTTGTTGGCCTGTGAGTTATTATATAATTGATTATATTACACTTAATGTTCAGTGGAGCAGGGAAGATTTAACGGGAATGGAATGTTGTACCAGTACTGGGTGTTCATGACATCAGCAATTGCAGCAGGAGAGACCGCTGATCAGTGAAAGAGAAACAGAAGGAATTTTGAATGATTTTAACAAATGCCTGCTTTCTGTTTCAAATGAATGTTCATAACTCAGTAATTCGTGCTTTTTTGCATACTTTAAAAGCAAAAATTTGTTTTTCATTTTGTGATGAATATGCAATGCCAGAATTAATTTGAAATTTATGTAAGAAATGTATAAAAGTTAATTATAATTGAAATTAGAAATGAACATTAATTTCAATAGACACTACTTTGCCCTTGCTTCATATGAAATAATTAGTTGGAACTATTAGGGGCCTGACAACACAACTGCTTTTCGACAGCAGTAATGGCATTAAAGATTAGAAACAGGCAGAGAAACAAGTTCCCTCCAGATAAAATTGCCTGAAAGTAGACAAATGTGCCCACCAGTGGAACATGGAAGCAGATTGTGCAGTAAGCTTCCTGCACTGGTGTGGGGAGAACTCAGAGCTGAGGAGCCAGGCTTGGCCCTGCAGTAACCAGCTGAGTGGCCTTTGGACGAGGAGTGGAACCTCTCAGACCCCTTCTCATTTGTAAAATAAGGACTTGGATCAGATCACAAAGATTCTGCCCTGCCACGAGATGCTGCAATCCTCTGCTTTTGACAATGACTTTATTTTATACTAACTTTTGGGGGAATATGCCAGTTTTGTTTGTTCACTGAACTTCTTGGGCTAAAATTAATTTAGTTTTAACCCTAGCTCTGCCAGTGACTTGGGCAGGTGACTTTATTTGCATGCTAAAATGGAGAACATGTTCTCTTCATAGGACTTTCGTAAAGATAATGCTGAAAATCAGTAAACACAGAGATGGGTTCAGAGCAAGTGGTCAAGGAATGCTAACCTTTTAGTTTTGTATCATTCAGCCTCCTGTTTATGTCTGTTCATATATTTAATTTTGTGGTTTTGTAGGACTAAAGCTGTGGCTTTTTTATTTTCTAATATCCTTTGGTTTAGCAGTTGATAATAGTGGTGGCTGTTAAAAACACACATTTAAAAAATGCCATTTAGAATATGGACAGAATTGGACCATTTCTTCTATATCTAAGAAATAATACCTAAAGGCAGCTGGTTCATTTATGTGGGTGAGAGAAGGGATTAGTTGGGAGTTGTTCATGTTTGAAAATCATATTGGTGGAAGTAAATATACAGTTACAGGTGGGGATATATATGTATATATATAATCTTAAATTATTAGCTACTTATGGACAAAAGCTCATGTAAAACACAGTGCTATGAAATGCCAGGCAGGCCCAAAGTCACCAGGATTAGTAATCAGGCTTTATCAACAACTGTTGGAAGGTTCAATGGCCATTTTAAAATGTGCAAAATTGCTGCAATATTACAGTATAAATCTGTGCTTCAACCCACGTGTTTTGGAAACATGTCTATGGGATATGACAGAAGTTCCTTGAGTGAAGAGAGGATAAGACAACAGGAAGTGGTTGTGAATGTGGCAGTTGGATAGTGTGCACTCCATCCACAGGCTGATGGGACCAGTTGTTACTTAGCTCCATTCAGTTGTTGCTCTGTGGGAATGTAAGCACAGTGTTGCCACATCTTCCCGTTTTTCAAGATCCAGGCTCCATCTGAAAATTTTTGGTTTTTGGACACTATGCAGACCAAACAAAAGCACACCCACTATGCCGATTTGGCCCACAGGCCTTGAGTTTCCACTCCCTGCTCTTTGTATCTGTCACAAGAACCAGACTCCAGTCCTAAATGGCCACTCATCCTTCAACACAAAACAGAATGAAACAAACTTTTAAAAAAAATAAAATGTTTTTATTGATTTTAGGGAGGAAGGGAGAGGAAGAGAGTAACATCAATCGGCTGCCTCCTGCATGTCCCCTGCTGGGGACAGAGCCTGCTACCTGAGCATTCACCGGCAACCTCAAGGTGCATGAGAGGATGCTCATCCAACTGATCCACACTGGCCAGGGCACAGGACAACCTTTTTGGTTAGAGAACATGGGCACAGGCTCTCTGGTAAGCTATGTGTTACTTTATTCAGAGAACATTTATTGAGTACCTTCTACAAGCCAGAGATAGTATAGTGAACAAACCTCACAGTCTCTGCCCTCAAGGACAGCCTAAGGAGCCGCCTTTAAGATGAATGAGGTACTTGGTTTTCTGGTGAAATTTGCCTTATGTGATGTAATAACTGAATAATTTCTTCTCAATTCCTTCTCTGATGAATCCTTTGGCAAAAATATTTCTGGGAGTTCTTAGAACCTCTTGTTAAATTGGCACCATTTGCTCCTCCACTACATTTTATAGCTGACTCATTTAGGGACAGACAGTGTTTGCAGATGTATGTGCTACAAGGTTGTATCAACATGCACAAAATTTCCAGGAATAACATTTCAAAGTAATCTGCCCCATTGTGTCACATACATTCAAGTCATGCCCTGACAGTGGTTGTAGTCACTGCAGACTAGAAGACCAAGAAAACAGAAGATTTTGTTTCTCTCCTAGGGAAAGAGCAGATGCAGTGATGACCAATGGTACCAGTTTGCCTGGGACAGAGGGTGTTCCTGGGAAGTGGGACTTCCAGTGCTAAAACCCGGGAAGTCCCAGGCAAACTCTGGGACAAGTTGGTCACCCTAGATTCTATTTCTTCCTTTACGTGGACACACAGCTAAATCACATCTCCCAGCCCCTTGAAGTTAGGTGTGACCATGGGACACAGTTTCAATCAATGGATTATGAGTTAAAGGGATCGAACACTTCCAGACTTTGCCATGAGAAAACTGCTGTGCTTCTTCCCCTAACACTGACCCAAAGAAGACCCTATGCCCTTGTTGGTGACAGCCTGGGTCCCTGAATGACTATAGTGTCCTCCCCTACCAACCTGGAACTAGCCAGCACAGTCCCATGAGCAAGAGCCATTAGGCATTTTAGAATCTGCTTGCTTCAGTGGCTGACCTGAACTCATAATGAAAGTGAGTACCCTGAAGTGGGGTGCTGCTGTCAAAACTAAAATGTGTGGCATTGACTATGGGGTGGTGGGTGGTGGTGAAACTATTGGAAGCTCAAGAGATTGGGAACCATACTGTGAATTGGCAAA